CCAAATTAGCCCCCCTCTCCCAAAATATCACACTGCTCTGCAGAAAGAAGACCAAGAAGATACTCAAGCAACATCAAAAAAAGTTGAAAGCGAGACAAAAGTCCCCCCTAAAAATGTTAGTTGCACCTACAAGGGCATTACGAATGTTGAAGGCCGAAGACGAATAGCTTTGGGAGAGAAGGTAAGAAAGAAGATATTTCGTATATAAAAAGTAGTCATTGGACAAAGTAGTCATTGGACACGTGCATTGCACGTGGTCTCACGTCAGTTATAAATTTCATACTAAGAATAGTAATTGAAGTACAAAAAGTTAATATGAATAACACCTCCCTTTTTTGGAAAATATTACATATTTTTTTCTCATTTTTGTACATGAACTTGATAATGTGATTTGTTTTACGAAATTACTATTACTAATCACCATTATAGCAAGTTGAATTTTCTATAGCAATGACTAATAAAAATTGGTGAATGAAAATCTGTTTGACCTCACAAAGGAAAGACAGTTTAAGACATAGAACAAATATTTTTTTTATATAAAAGACACTGCACGTTTATCACACGTCAATTATTATAAATACTTATTCCATTTAACTTTTTCCCATATTACAACAACTATAATATACCAAGTATAATCTCACTTAGAACTTCCGAATACTAGTGTAAAAATTCACTTCTTTCTTTTTTGTTTAATACATTACCGCTTCATTTTTGGAGGATAGTGTAGAAAGTGAAATAGTTAGAAAAGAAATTATTTTCCACAAAGGAAGAAAACCTAAAAAAGTATTCCGAGCTGGAAAACCTTGTCCAGTGGAAGTGGGCGTGGATGTGAGGCTTGAATCACAGGTCATCCCGAGTAGAGGCAACTTCAAGTACCTTGATTCGGTTATCAAGGGGGAGGGGAGATCGACGAGGATGTCACACACCGAATTGGGGTAGGATGGATGAAGTAGAGGTTAGCATCTGAAGTCTCGTGTGACAAGAGAATACCACCAATACTCAAAGGTGAGTTTTATATAGCGGTGGTTAGACCGACCATGATGTATGGGAGGGGGGGAGAGGCTGAGTGTTGGCCCGTTAAGAACTCACATATCCAAAAGATGAAAGTAGTAGAAATGAGGATGTTGAGGTGGATGTGCGGGTACACTAGGATAGATAAGATTAGGAATGATGATATTCGGGAGAAGGTGTACGTGGCTCTCATTGATGACAAGATGCGGGAAGCGAGGCTTAGATGGTTCGGACATGTTTAGAGAAGAAGCCCAGATGCTCCAGTACGGAGGTGTGAGCGGCTGGTTGTGGAGGGCACGAGAAGAGGTAGAGGGCGGCCTAAGAAATATTGGGGAGAGGTGATCATGCAGGATATGGCGAGGCTCCAGATTTCCGAGGACATGACACTTGATAGGAAGATGTGGAGGTCGAGTATTAGGGTTGTAGGTTAGGAGGTAGTTGAGTCTTGCCTTACTTCGTACCATTGTGGGACTAGCCAGGTAGGGGTTTTGTCTAAGATAGCTAGTGACAATGTTGTGTCTTACTATTTCGTTTTTCAGTGCAAGACCTATTTACTAGCTATCGCAAAGCTTTTGCTTTGCATCTTTCTTCTGGATTTCATGGTGTTCTAATTTTTCTTATGATTGATGTAGTGATACTAATATTGTCTCCTTTCGTCTTTTTGTTTTCTTGAGCCGAGGGTCTTTCGGAAACAACCTCTCTACTCCTTCGAGGTAGGGGTAAGGTCTGCGTACACGCTACCCTCTCCAGACCCCATTAGTGGGATTTTACTGGGTTGTTGTTGTTGTATCTATCTATCTATATTATATTAAAACATGAAGACCCTTAGAGAAATATTATTCGTCTTTTTTACCCTTAAAAAATAGATTTCACATTAGACAAACTTGACATTTCATTATATTTCTAATTTTTAGGACTTTTAAAATTAACTAAATCTTTTTTATTAAATATTTCCTTTTTAAAATTATCATGACCCGGAAATCTCACCCTCGGGACCGTGATGGCGCATAACATTTCACTTGCTAGGCAAGCCAACGTTAGAATAGTATCTATTTTTAACAGTTCAAATTAAATAATAATAATAATAATAATAATAATAATAATAATAATAATAATAATAATAATAATAATAATAATAATAATAATAATAATAATAATAATAAAGAAACCGAAATAACTAAAATAAATTTTGAAGTAAAGTGTGAAAAACCATTACAACTGAAATATCTAATACATCCCTGAATCCGGTGTTACAAGTGCACAAGCTACTAGAATACTACAGATAAAGATCTGAATAAAAGTAAAGTTGTTTGAAAAAAAAATACACAGCTAAGATAAAGTAGAAAGGGACTTGAGGGTTGCGAACGCCGAGCAACTGTACCTTAAGTCTCCATACTAATAGTCAACTTGAGCAATCTACTGACCGCCGCTAGGACCAACTCCAAAATCTGTACAAGAAGTGCAGAGTGTAGTATGAGTACAACCGACCACATGTACTCTGTAAGTATCGAACCTAACCTCGACGAAGTAGAGATGAGGTTAAGGCATATCACTTACAAAAACCTATACGTAGTATAAATTAATGACAGTAAAGGAAAATACGGAAATGAAATAAGGCAGTTAACTCATGAAAATAACTCAATCCTCGAAGAAAACCAGTAAATGCCAGAAATACCAATCCTTAGAGTCTCGTATGAAAGAACCGAAGCCAACACAATACAATAAGGAATAGAAACACATAAATTATTGTGGTGTGCAACCCGATCCCACTGTACAACACTATCCTCCCTTATCCCACCATATAAATGTCAATAATAATAAGTAAATATATGTTGCGGTGTGCAACCCAATCACACCATATAATCAGAATCAATATCATAATTCACCCTTATTTCACCATATCAATCCACCCTTATTTCACATGTTGCGACGTGCAACCCGGTCCCATCGTATCAATATAAATGCTCCCTTATTTCACAATATCAATCAATCCTCATTTCACATGTTGCGGCGCGCAACCCGATCCCACCGTACATTATAAATAAATCAATAAGTGCGATCAATTTAACAACTTGAATCACAAAAATCTCTACGATTAACGGATATGAAGCAGAACCAGAAAGGAAATCTCGTCACAAATTAAGAATTCGCTATGAATAATACTAAGCAGTAAGACAAGTCAAATAAATGACAACTAATGGGTACAAGTAAGTCAATTAAATCAAGTAGCAGTTAATCATGAAGAACGAGAGAATGTAACATTTTTAACACGAGAATAATAAATGACAAGTAACAACTAAAGGCATGTGAAGCATTTAAAGCATGTAATAGTTAAAACATGGAATGAAATAATTAATGAAATACGAAAAAGTAGGGAAACAAGTATTTTGGCGGCGTATATACAGTCGTCACCTCGCATATACACCACTACACATGAATTTCACATAGCACATAGCTCATGGGTTCCTAATTCCCTCAAATCAAGGTTAAACCCAACACTTACCTCGCTCCGCAAGCAAATCAAAGCTCTATCGGGGCCTTTCCTCTAAATTCCGCCTCCAAACCAATCGAATCTAACCAAAATCGAGTCAATAACATCAAATAATGCTACGGAATTAAATTGCAATACGTAAAGTTAAGATCTTTACACTTTTTTCCAAAAGTCAACCCCGGACCCGCTTGATCAAAACCCGAAATTCGGACCAAAATCTATTTACCATTCACCCTCGAGCCCGATTATGTAATTAGTTTTGAAATCCGACCACAATTTGAGGTGTAATCCGCAATTTGCAAAAACCCTCAATTTTTCCCAAATCTCTAATTTTTCATTGTTCATGATTTCTTAATGTCCTATAATGTTCAAGATTTTTCTTCCTTTCCCAATACTAGGGGTGGCTAGTGGGCCGGTTAGGACCGGGACTGGCCCAGGATCGCAAGCCCACATGTGCGGTGGGCCTAAACGGTCCTAACCGGATAGGACCGGGACCGTGGGGTGGTGGGCCGCGTAGTGGGCCGGTCTCATAGGGGAGGCCCGTGAGACCGGGACCGTTGAGGACCGGGACCGGCTCAGAAGTGGGCCGGTTCAAGCGGTCCTAAACGGTCCTAAACGGGCCCAACGGATAATTTAAAAAAAAAATAATTTGACCGTTTGGCCATTTAAAAACTAGTCGTTTGGTCTGCCAAAATAGTCGTTGGCTATTTGCAAAATAGCCATTTAACCCCCCAAATTTTGTTTTAACCCCAAACTTTTTATAATTATACTTTTTCCCTATTTTCAACTATAAATACCCCCTCATTCTTTTATTTTTCTCACAAAATCATCAATCTCTCTCAATCTCTCTCTAATATTCTTCTATAATTGCTTACTTAATTGTTACAATTTGTGCAAAATTGTGAAGTTGGTGAATTGAAGTCTTCAACGATAATTATTTTTCCACAAGTTGTTTGTCAATTCGGTAAACTCGTTCCAACTCTTAAGTTTTAATATTATAGTTTTGTTTGTTTTATTTACTTTGCTTGATTAATTAAGATGGCTTATTCCCTAAAAACAATATTTAGAAAAATAAGGAAAAATTCAAGAATAGTGAATCTAGTGGCCAATCTGTTCCTCCTCCACTTTCCCCGGCTCCCCGGCCAAAACCTGTTACCCGTCCTACACCTGCTATCTTGATAGCGATAATAGTTTATTACAATTTACCGAGAGTCAATTTTGCCATAATATTGCACCCNTAGAAATTTTCTGTTGGGCCCACTTAGGCCCGCTTAGGACCATTTGGGCCTGCTTAGGCCCGGGACCGGCCCACTTAACACGGGACCGCTAGTTCGTGGTCTCGGTCCCAGACCGGTTCCAACGAGAAGCCCGCGAAACCCGGGACCGCTTAGGACCGACCCACTTAGGACCAGGCCCACGAAGTCCATTTAGGACCGGGCCCGACCCACATGCCACCCCTGCCCAATACAGAATCCTATATCTTCCTTTGCATTTCTAGTTTCGATATGTAATTGAAGGTAGTAGTACTTTTATTGACTTGATGGCACAACTTGCAAGTACACAAAACATGAAACAATGGGCAATTGGACCTATTCTTCCTATTAAACTACTACCATACAATAAGAAAAATGAGTACTGTTTGGAATGGCTAAACAAACAACCTCCAAAATCAGTTCTTTATGTATCTTTTGGGACAACTACTTCATTTTCTGATGAACAAATCAAGGAGCTCGCAATGGGATTAGAGCTAAGCAAACAGAACTTTATATGGGTGTTGAGATATACAGATGAAGTTGATAATACTGGCAAATTTAAAAAACTTAAGTTGCCAGAAGGGTTTGAGGAAAGAGCGAAAGGGGTGGGCTTAGTGGTTCTAGAATGGGCACCCCAACCTGAAATCTTGGCTCATCCGTCCACTGGCGGGTTTTTGAGTCATTGTGGTTGGAATTAGTGCATAGAGAGCATTACTTTGGGAGTCCCAATAGCTGCTTGGCCTATGCACTATGACCAACAGAAAAACAGTTTCTTGGTGACAGAAAAATTGAAAATAGGCCTGGCTGTTAGGGAGTGGGAGAAACGATGTGCTTGTCACTGAATGTTGTGAGGAAGTTAATGACATCAGAAGAAGGTGATGTGATTAGGAAAGGAGAAGCTGTAAGACAATCGACACAGAAAGGAGGTGCTTTTCGAATGGAGTTGGAGTCTTTTGTTGCGCATATCACAAGATAGATACTCTTTAGACTTGTGATTGCATCCTTATTTTATTTTGTCTCTAATATATATATATATATATATATATATATATATATATATATATATATATATATATATATATATATATATATTAAAGTGAAGGATCCTCAAAATGACAACTTGAACTCAATCATTCGAGTTCAAGTTTATATGATGGTGGTCTACCGGCAAGTTTGCGCACACCTTAACCATTCCAGCAATACCTGCTACCTCTCACTAGCACATGTACCAACTTTACTCACTTAAGTTTTCTGTTTCTTTGGGATTTGAACTCTAGTCTCCCATAGTTTTCATCCACTTCATGGACCGTTAGGCTACACCCGACCAATGACATTAAGTAATCGCCTTTCTAGATTGTTCAACGGTACCCACTCTAAAGGCAGTGAAAATAATGTGATAAAGAAGTTTAAACATGACTGACGATCAGAAAAAGAGAAACATCTTAACTTATCCAACTCTGATCCACTTACAAGAAAGAATCATATTGCTGGCAGAGAAAACTGTTTAAGTCTCATCCAAGAATTTGCAAAGCTCATTTCATTCAAGATTGTTGATTTGATCTTTATGATGCAAAGAAATATGACTTATGGACTAGTAATTGATTAGTGATTAGCTGTAATCTTAGTGTTCTTTGACCTATTTTTCAACATCAGTACTGTAACATGTCGCGAACAACTTGCTTCACAAAATTTCCTAACTAAGCAGACAACAAAAGACTAGCTGAAAGCTCAATATATTCAGAAAAGCATGCCAATATTCAGTAGATACAATCATTTACAGGTTACTCTCGAATAAGAAGAGAATGGATATCCTTTAAATGCATTTTGGATAAAGGGAGTAGAGTAAAAGAGAGCAGAAATAAAGTTGACATTTTTTGCAACTTTTCATATATAAAAGAGAAACCATATCATCGTCTGTTTCTAATGCAATCGCCTAAAAAAAGGCCTAGGATCAGGGCAAACACAAGATTACAAGATTAAAAAGCTACCTTGTGAAACATCTCTTTTATCTATGCGCGCGCTCCATATATATTCTGGATTCCATGCAGCTGCTGCTATGTCCTGTTAGTAGAGGAGTCGTATGCTATAAAGCTACGACATATGAGAATCAATGAAGTAATGCTCCAGTATCGTGATGAATGTCGGGAAGATCAGAACTAATGGAGAACTTCAACCATCTCTTCTTCTCAATGCGCTTAAGACACGGTTGCATCACCAACCCGATTGCAACAGCAGCAAGGCTTATAATCATGACTTTAACTGAAGAAAATGCCAAAACGACACCAATGAGTATGGTCGGAGGAATACACAGTAGGATGGCTCCGACTGTTCCCCCAGGTATCTTGAATGGACGCGATGCATTTGGGAACTTTATCCTTAATCGTACGAATGCTATGAATTCCAAGATCATTCCAAAGCAATATAAGAAATTTTCTGCAGCTACAATCTCTTGAAAGCTCATCCATGAAAGTAAAATCACACCAAAAGCTGAGAAGAGGATACCGACTAGAGGTGTTCCATAACGTGATCTCTTCGCAAAGAACTCGGGTAGCATCCCTCTCTCGGCCATACCAAGTAGCTGAAATGAGTCGCTGCTCATCTCGGCCACAAACGTCCCCATATTTGACAATGCAGCAGCCCCTTGAATCCACCATCTTAGCCAGACCCCACCAAGTATTTTCGCAATATCTGAGAAATAACCATCCGTCCACAAGTCACGCTCGAGTGGAACAGCTCCGGTACCAACTAATAGGGGGAAAAAGTATGATAAAACGACTAGAATCACAGCATAAAAAAGAGCCTTAGGCAGAGTTTTCTTCGGGTTATGCACTTCTCCTACGAGAGTACTAATCGAATCCCAATAATTTAGATTCCAAAAGAGAGTGTTTAAATACAAGTTCCAATCGACGTTATGCACATCCGCCACCAACCACCTCGTTGGCCTTAGTTTTGGAATAGAAATGAGCCCCATTACGACAAAAGGAAGGATCGACAATATCCCGAGCATAACAGCAACCCATCCAACAATAGTTAAACCCCTATAATTCATATAAGTTAAAACCAAAGTAATGCCTAATACCGCGATAACTCTAGGAAGTCCGCCACCTAATGCAGGAATTCCTGACTTAAGATAATCAAGAAACAAAACCGGGTAAAGGGCATTATCAATGACTCCACTTAACCATTTCACCCAACCTTGTTGAAATCCCCAAAATGGACCCAAAGCAGATGAAACCCAAACAACATAGCCACTATTTTCGGGGAACATGGTGCCTAATTCAGCTGTGATCAGTGCCTCAGGGATACTCCATATGATCGGGAAAACCAAGAACCCGACGAGTGCAAGAAGTGGACCGGCTGCTTGTACAGTATCCTCAACACCAAATGGACCACCTGATACTTCATAGAAAATGAGAAAAACTAGAGGCAAGAGTGAAAGTTTCCTAGGATCATTTGCCCTTGGAGATACAACTTCATTAATCCCTATGTACTCAGCATCATTGTAATTCCCCATTGGAATTGTGGCTTCTCCCCTTACTTTCTGCATTTAGCATCAAATTGTAACATTATAAGAAACAAATCCTATCTCTTTGCAACTAAATTAACCCAAAAAATTGATGGTGTTCAAAGTAAGAGAATCAAAAAGCATCTAACTTTGTCTCAATTCAGAGATCATGTCACCACCTTTAGGAAATAAAACTTGAAGCTACATAAAAAAAATGTGCAAACCACATTTTTGTAGTAATAAATATTTCTAAAATATCTCAATTTTCTTAGAAAATAGTCTGACTCTCTGAAAAGGAGGAGAGCCTTGGCATAACTGGTAAAGTTGATGCCATGTGACCACCAGGAAGTCACGGGTTTGAGCTGTGGAAACAGCCTTTTGCAGAAATGCAGGGTAAGGCATAGAGCCTTGTGGTCCGACCCATCTTCGGACCTCGCGCATAGCGGGAGGTTAGTGCCTCTGACTCTCTGAATAGTAATAGTTTCATATAACAACAAAGGAACATTACTGTGCTAATCAGCACACTAAAAGAATCATTTAGCTAATCAACTAAAGGAACAATCTTTACCATATTTTGTCTCAACTCAGAGATCAATATCATGTCACAACTTTTTGAAAATAAATGTTACTTGAAGCTACATAAAAAATCTTTACCACATTTTGTTTCAATCATATCATTTCATACATGCAAAGGATTATTTTCTACTCAAAATTATGTATACATGTGAAAATAATTTTTTTTTTTAAATGTAGGATAATACCTATTATGAATCCATGAACTTTAATTCTTGAATCTGTTCTTCTGCTGGGAATGAAGGTTTTAAGGAGATTGAGAAGTTGCAGAAGTTGAGAGCAGAGATAGAGATGAAAATAATCAAAGGCATTTTGTTCTCCAACAGAAAGCCCTGTGGCAAAAACAGTCTGTTTTTCTGCTTAGTGCATACACAGTCACCCACTACCAAAATGTCTTTTCTTGTTCACTTTTTGCGCCCTTTAAAGATGAGTATATTTTTAAAAGAAAATATTCTCAATCAAATTTGTATAAATTTTGCACACTTATAAATGATAAAGTAGAGACGGAAGAGCGATTACTGGAAGATCTAGGTAGAGAAAAAAGTTGTGAAAATAGAATGGGACAGTCAGCTTTCGAATCGGTAATCGAAAAATAATCAGTATTTGTAAAGTTATTGATAAATAGTCACTATTTTAGGCGGAGATAAAATCTGGACAAAAATATTCTAGCTGCAACACAGAGAGTTTAAGCATAATATGCTCGAGTATGGAGTTCATGCGTTTAAGTTTCCAACATATTATGTTTGAATTTCAACACATTATGAAATTCCGACACATTATGCTGGAATCTCATATGTAAAAATTTTGAAAACATATTGTGCTGAAATTTTTCTGCATTTTAAGGATATTTTTGTTCAAATTTTATCTTTATACGAAAAATTGGCTAAATTTCGATTACTTTTAAAATTTTGACTATTTTTTAATTACCGATCGTAAATCAGGCTATTTCTCTCCTTTTTTTTCCCCCAAAAAATAGACATAAAATGATTCTAAAAATTTTGGAAAAATTACGTTTTTAGTCTTGATATATGGAGAAATTCTAATTTTGATCCTATTATATCTAGTTAAGCACATTTCTTACAATAAATTGAAAATATGCACTTTTGATTGTTATACTTGGGAAAATTATTACTATCCCCACTCCAATTTTTAAGAAGTTACATTTTATATTGCACTAATTCAAAAGCTAGATAAAACATTGAAACTATAGTTTTCGATAACACTCATTACTAATGCTACTTATACTGGTTGTCATTATTGTTTTAAAAGGTAAACTATGTCAAGAATGCATGCGGCAATATATGTCCAATAATTTGTTATAATATTTTATGTCTCTGTATGTGTTTTTTTTTTTCTTTTTCATTATTTCGTCAAAAGTAGTCTGTCTTTAGATTTTGTACTCATTGAGGCGTGCTGAAAATACAACTCTTTCCTTTTCCAACCAACATGTAAACCCCACCACACACCCCAACAACACACAACACAAACAAGAAGAAAAACATATCTCATGTTTTAATACTTTCGTGCCCCGTTTGTCCATAAAAAAAAAATTTCTTTTTCCATTTTTTTTTTAAAAAATATGTTTGTCTATGAAATTTTGTAAGTTTTTAATTTTTTTTT